GACAGGCGGCTCTGGTGCTGGCAACGATGCCAGGACGGAGCCGATTGCCGTCGAGGTCAAGGCGGACCGGGGCGGTATCGGGATGGAGAGCGAGAGGAAGCGCAAGTTGAGGGAGGCGGCGGAGAGGATCGAGGAGGAGGTGAGGGAGGGGAAGAGGGTAAGGGTCGATCCGTTGGAGTATCGGGACCGGGTGAGGATGGAGAGGGAGGCGGCGAGGGTGCAGGCGCAGGTGTTTGCGGCGCAGCGGGTTTCGGAGAGGATGGCGGAGGAGAAGGAGGGCGAGGAGGTGGCCGAGCCGCTGGTTGTCGAAGGGGCAGCGGAGGACGGCACCAGTCATCACGACGAGGGAGACGGCAAGAAGGATAAGACAACGACGAAAAAGACGCGAGCGGCCGGCGCGGCGTCGAGACCGCTCAAGTCGATCAACGTCCTTTGGAGGGGTCTCGCCCGCCACCGCGAGGAAAAGGAGCGGGACCGCAGGATGAGGTATGATCTGGAGCAGAGCCTGTCGCGGCTGCCGACGTACGAGGACGACGATGAGGACGCCGACGACCGCACGGCGCTGGGCAAGAAGCAGGTTGTCTACGTCACCACGGAGGACCTGGACGAGGAGGATCCCGAGCTTGACGAGTTCAACGAGCTGGAAGACGCTGAGAAGCTGCGGCGGCTGGTGGAGTATCTGAGGAGGGAGCATCGGTACTGTTTCTGGTGCAAGTACACGTATCCGGACGATGAGTTGGAGGGGTGTCCTGGTGTTACGGAAGAGGATCACGACTAAGTGGGAATGGAATTTTGCTTGCATGGTATCATAGTATTGAGTGTCATTATAGTGTACAATATCTACATCTTGATGTTACAGAGAGGACTTATGGCGTCTAGCCCCTGCCTTTGCGTGCCAATATATCGTACACGCCCATCTCCTTGGCCACCATCGACACCTGGCCCTTGGCCAGCTCACCAGCTTCTTGCATGTACGCCGTCTGCAAGTAAGACGAGTACTCCTCGCCACGCTGCTTGAGCGACATCTCGTCAAGAGTCAGAGTTCCTCCAATGGACTTCTGTCGGGTTTCGACGTGCGAGTCAATCTTGCGCTTAATGAGGCGAAGCTTCTGTCGCGCCTGCGTTGTCTCCCAGGCAAGACTTGTAGTCTCCATCATCATCTCGAGGGCCAACACCTCGGGCGGAGTGAAGTCGAAGACAGCCTTAAAAGCCTGGAGGGCAACGACGATGCCGATTTTGTCCTTTAGTCGGCGGAATGTGTGGAGGATCTTCCTCGCAATTTGCCCGTCGAGACCGTCTGGTTTGAACACAGACGCGAAGCGAACCATTTCTGCAAAAGTCTCGCGTGTAATTCTGGTTTCGTTGACAAGCTCATCGCCTGCAATACTGTGCAGACGATTGGCACCAAGCATCTTCCACAATGCCATGAACGTGTAGGGATCAGGTTTGACCTGACGGTCATACACGAGAATCTGGTACAGCTGGCGTGCCTCAGAGATGTTGCCGTTCTGTGAGTGTGACTCCAGCAACTGGTTCATCATGAAGGCGTCCGGGCTGATTTCTGCTTCTCTGAAAGCGTCCCATAACTTCGCTAAGTCGGCATGAAGACTTCGAAGGCGATAATTCTCCGCAAGTAGGGAAAACGTTTCGAGCGTGGCCTTGGGCATGGCAGCTGTATGAGATTTCACAGACACTTCGACTGTACGAACCGGCCCTTCCATGGTTGAAAGTCGACGACGATTCTCGACAAACTCCACGCGAGCATCGATCATTTGCCATGCCAACTTGTCCGCCTTCTCCAAATTATCGGCGCCACCTGACCTTTGCCAGGCACCAATAAGCCCATTCACCTGAATGCTGGCCGCTTCGATGCCCTTAAACCGCATGAATTCGAAGACGCTATGCGCTCCATCGAGGTCTCCAGCACCGATAAGTCGTTTCAGCCATTTTCCGAAGAAGAATTTGTTGCCGATTTGAGAAGGCAATCGGTCTCGTCCACTCAGCTCGACCGTACTAGAGCTCATCATATCGACGAAGGCTTGCAAAGCGTATTCCGTTTGTCCAGTCGTTAGGAAGAAAGAGATCACCTGGTCGTAGTCCTCGAGCCCCATTGAAGAGCCAAGAAGGTCCCTCATTCGACGGTATGCGTCCCAGGCCTTTATCCTTGGCTCCGCGTTCGGATTTGTTGCACAACTCCTAATGTACGGCAACAGAATGCGTGGATCGAGTTGGCGCTCGAGCAGCTTGTTCACCGCGCGTTCTCCCTGCACAAGATCACCTTGTTGGCAGAACATGCGCACTCCAAGCTCCCAAAACTCCTTGAAGGTATCTGCGCCACTGTCGCCGAGGGTGGACATACATCGCTTCCAGTTATCGATGGCCTTGGCCTCCCATCCGTCCACAAACATGGCTTCGACTGTGACAAGCTGTTGCGAAGGGCTCAAAGCAACCTTCGCCTCGCTCATATCTCTTGCTAGCAGCGAAAGATATGTGAGACGGCTTGGGTTTTTCGCATCGTCTAGCGACAGAATGTCCCACAGAAGGTTCCAAACGCCTTGAGGAACATGCGCCCAAGCCTTGGCTAGAGATTGCCTCGCCGCGCCGTACGTCTTCCACACCGTCTGGGCAGTCTTTGCCGTAACATCCTCACCTCGTCGCATCTCTTTAGTCGTTCGGGAGAGGAGCGTGTTTAATCGTACTATCCGTTTTCGCTGGTTGAAGCTCCACACTTTCTCGGGGATCTGCGGAATTGGGGGTTGCTTCTTTCGTTGTGAGGGGTCCACGCGAGCAGTCGCCTGTATGACGCCCAGTGTTGCCGCGTGGTTCTTGTAATCGAATTGGCTGACATCGAATCCTCTTGCCTCGAATTGGCTTTCTAAGTCTTTGATGTATGCGTTCAAGCTTTCCAATGTGTCTTCGGGGTTCCTGGCATTCCCGAGCTTGTCTTCGAAATCTTTCGCAATCGAGTCGACATCGTTGATTCCCAAAGCACCCAAGCCGCCCTCATTCTGAAAACGAGAGAGCGTGCGCCGCATATCAGCCGCAAAAGTCTGGTTCAGCTCCTTCTTCAGATCGTCTACGCCACCCATAGATTCTCTGAAAGCATCCTCGTCCCCCAGCCGCTCAATCTGGCCGGATTCACCCTTCTCGAAGAACTTTATAATAGGCTCGTCGGTTCTTTTTTGCATCAGTTCCTTGAGAAGGTCGGCGGCTGCTCTGCTCGGATCGGCATCGTTTTGGGTGGAGGGCGTCGGAGCAGATTTGCGCTGTGCGTTCTGAGCACCTCGAGGCTTGACTCCTAGTTGAGCAATACGGGAGCTATGTCGAATCGCCCATGGCGGCGGGGCAGAAGAGCCCAAAGTTGACTGGCATGACTGGCAAATGAATGTGTTTCGACATGCTATGTCACGAAAAAAAGTTCTATGAGACATAAGGAGAGGCGAAGGTGGTCAACATAAAGATAAAGGAGAAAGCGAAGAAAATGGGCGCTTCAAGCAGAGAGGAAGCTCATGGCACGTAGAGAAACGGGTCAGATTTTTTGATGGACCCTGAACCTAGGTGCACCTGCATCTGCGCGTCGCGAATCATTAAGAGCTTATCTTATCAGAGACATCTGGATTCCCTTTACCGCCTACCACTTGTAACAGATTCAGCGGTCATATCCCGGCAGAAAAAGATAATTTTCTAGATCCCACCTTCGTCTACTCTTTTTTTTTCTGGCCGCGGATATCACCAGCACCCAAACGACCCACGGCAAAAATGGCGTCCGCTCCCGAGTACCTGCGGTTCACAGGACATAGGTCCTTTGCGCAGCGACTAATCATATCAACTCTGACTGGTCGGCCAGTTCACATCTCTAAGATTCGCAGCTCGTCGCCGACACACCCCGGTCTTGCGCCCCACGAGATTTCATTCCTCCGACTACTGGAAGCCGTCACCAATGGTAGCTCTATGCAAATTTCGTACACCGGTACGACCATCACGTACCACCCCGGTCTGATCACTGGAACGATGGCTGGCTTTGGCGCATCCGACGGCGACGTCATCGAGCACAACCTCCCCGCAAACAACAACCGCGGCGTCACCTACTTCCTCCTCCCAATCTGCCTCCTCGCGCCATTCTCGAAGGCGCACGTCAACATCCGATTCACTGGCCCGGGTGTCATCACATCTGCGACTGAGACCGGCGATATCTCTGTCGACTCCTTCCGCACAGCCATCCTACCACTCTTTGGGCTCTTCGGTATCCCGCCTGCGCGAATTGAGCTGAGAGTGCTGTCGCGATCCTGCCCTGGAAAGAATGGTAGAGGTGGCGGTGGTGTCGTTGAGCTCCGGTTCGCAAGCCAGGTCCGACTTCCGAAAACGTTGCACCTAAACCGCAATCCCGGCAAGATAAGGAGGATACGAGGAGTCGCATACTGTACGGGAGTCTCAGCGTCCAACAACAGCAGAATGATTCACTCGGCAAGAGAGGTCCTGAATGCTCTCGTTTCAGACATTCATATCGCAGCGCAGTACGATACAGCACCTCTTATCACGGCGGCCGACAAGTCAAAGACACGAACGGGCATTGGCTTCGGTCTCAGTTTGGTGGCTGAGTCGAGCTCTGTAGGTGTTCTCTACTCGGCAGATGTAGTAGCGCCACCTGTGGGCGGCGTAGTGCCTGAAGATATTGGCAAAAATTGTGCCTATCAACTGCTGGAAACCATTGCGCAAGGTGGATGTGTCAGCAAAGCATCAGCCAGCACCGTCATGACGTTGATGGCTATGGGATCTGAAGACGTAGGAAGATTGAGGATAGGAAGAGATGTCATCGGAACAGAAGAGATGGTTGGGCTCGCCAGGGACTTGCGGACATTCGGCGCGAGTAGTTGGGGTTTAAGGGACGTTGAAGACGACGAGTCGAACGATATACTTGTTTCGGTCAAGGGAAGCGGTGTTGGTAATGTTGGTCGCAAAATTGCTTAAGATACCAGAATGCGATCATGATACCATCTAGACTACCTCTGATTCCTCTGGTTGCGTTCTAGCTGTGGTATCCTCCTCATTGCGGACAGTCTCGTCAATGTCGCGGTATAACCCAGGGTTTGAAGCGAGTGCCCTGCCGCTCCCCAGTAATCAGTGGTAGCGTGTCTAATAGTGTGCGATATGTGGAACTCCCCCAAATCGCCGTTTCCTGAACTGAAGACATCGAATAAATGCATCCCACTGGCTGCATTCGAGGACGAGCGTCGTCTTGAGGATCTCCTTCGTGAAGGTTCCTGGGCATGTTCAGCTTCGCCGTTAGGCCTCAGAGACTGGAGCTCCACACTGTCTGCGCCTTCCATGTCCAGTCCAGGTGCATCTCTCAAAACGCCCCGCTCTTCGGCGTCGTGATCTTGGGTTGAAAGGCCGATCGTCTCTTCTAGTGCCGGGGGCAGGCGGAAAAGCAATGGCCTTACAATAGGCCGTAGCTTCTCTCGCTCGGCATGGACAGCCAGCATGAGACATTGCACAGCCAGTATTATACAGTCGAGAGCTAGAAAAGCAAGCCTCGAGGTTGGTGGTTTCTGCCCGATGAAGTCGACGATGACGCCGCCGTGAAGATAGCCACGCGCAGCTTCGCCAGCTACAGGTAGGGATGCAAATATATGTAGCAAGATACATAGCAAGTTCGGGACAAACACTGATATGACTTGTGACCGGGCTGCCGCCATAGTCAATGGGTAGTCGTCAGGCTTGGGTGTAAGCCAGTGGTGTTGTCCATAGACGCGAACTGCAAAGCGGAAGATGGAGCACCTGAATAATAGTCAGAACATGAGATGACGAAGCATAAGAAGGAGAGAGTGGCATACTCCATGTAGTATAATGTGCATAGCTCTGCGTATACTATGGAGTCGAGATTCCGCAGTAATTGGGTCAAGAAGTCGAACTTCTTTGCCAGGCCGGGATTGATCTTTCGATGTTTCCGCCGTCGCCTTCTTGTAGAACCTCTAGCTTCTGCATCATCGGCGCGGTTCAAAGGCTCTGGATCCCCTCTGCCATCCTCCTGGTCGTTCCCGAAAGGGATTGATCGGCCTGGCAGGGTCTCTGGCGCGGCATCATCGACCATAGCTCGTTGGCCTCATTGGTGTCGGCGGGGATTCCTGCAGCGTGGCGACAAGTGCGACGCTTCACATACTCCAGCAGATTGGCAAATGACGGCTAGGGAAAGTGGAGTTGGCTGTCAAGATAAAAGCACGAATGAAGGTATTCCCGACCGTTGGGACCGTGATGCGAACAGATGTGGATAAAAGCCGACCGAAGCCAGCTGCAGGGATACCAAGTGTGACGCCACAGCTTGAGGAATGGAAGGCAGGCACGCAGGCAAGCTGTCCAGGACTCGGCGCGGTAAGCTCAGGAGCTAGATCCACTGGCGTGGGCACCTGCTGATATCGGAACAGGAGAATCTTTGATACGAATACCCCTCCATCCATCCCGCGCAAGGGTCCACACTCCCCTCCGATTCGACATTCGCAGCGGCCAAATTTCTGCCAGGAGTTCCCGCCTAATTTACAAGTGCCCCTCTGACTCAACGAGCCGAACATCGACATCTTGACGTGCAAGCCACCTATCCAGACAACAACGCACGAAATCATGGCGACGGCAAGCAACGGTCCTTCTGGGGACCTTACATCCCAGATCCTTTTGGCTTTGTCTCAGAAGGATCCCATCCTGTCTGCCGAGCACTTCCCAGAGTTCCACTTCACGGACGTCAAGGCCGCACTGGACCGCCTCGCTAGTCGTTCCATGGTCACATACGAGTCAATTGACCGGGAGGAAGCCGTCCTTGAGGCCGAGGGCAAGCAAATTGCTGAGCACGGCAGCCACGAAGCTCGTGTCTTTGAGGCGGTCCGGAAAGCCTTGGAGGGGTTGACGGTTCAAGAGCTTGAGGCTGCTGTGGGAGACAAGAATGTGACGAAGGTCGGCCAAGGCAAGGCCTTCAAGGAGAAGTGGATCAAGAAGGGTGGCGACGGCAAGCTCATTGCGACTGTAAGTTTGTCTGCCCCAAATGTCACCACTACATGCTAATACCGTGTGCGCAGGCCGACACGATTCAAGATGTTACTCAGGCTCAGCTTAAGCAGATCCTGGAGACAAAGACCCACGAGCCCAAGATCATCACCGACTTGAAGAAGCGCAAACTCATCAAGACCCAGAAGGTCATCGCATACAAGATCCAGAAGGGACCTGAGTTCGCATTGGAAATCAAGAAGGAGGAGACGGACTTGACGGCTGACATGATTGCGTCTGGCTCATGGAAGACTGCCAACTTCAAGCCGTACAACTTCAAGGCTCTTGGATCCGACCAGAACTCTGGCGCGCTTCACCCCCTCAACAAGGTCCGCCACGAGTTCCGTCAAATCTTCTTCGAGATGGGCTTTGAGGAGATGCCGACCGACAAATTCGTCGAGTCTGGATTCTGGAACTTCGATGCCCTTTTCGTGCCCCAACAACATCCCGCGAGAGATCTCCAGGACACTTTCTACATCTCGGATCCCAAGGTTGCAGACAAGCCTGGTCCCGAGTCGGAAGACGACAAGAAGGATTACAAGACGTACTGGGACAACGTCAAGGAGGTCCACCAGGATGGCAAGTTTGGCTCAATCGGCTACCGTTACCCCTGGGCTGCGGACGAGGCTCAGAGGCTTGTTCTCCGCACGCACACGACGGCCATCTCCACCGCAGTACTTCATCAGTTGGCTTCCAGAAAGGGACCGGACGGCAGACCTCCTCCGGCCCGTTACTTCTCCATCGACAGAGTCTTCCGTAACGAGAGTGTCGACGCTACGCATCTGGCTGAGTTCCACCAGGTCGAGGGTGTCATTGCGGATTACGGACTTACACTGGGAGGCTTGATGGAGTTCATGGAGATCTTCTTCAACAAGATGGGTATTACAGACATCAAGTTCAAGCCGGCGTACAACCCGTACACGGAGCCGAGTATGGAGATTTTCAGCTTCCACAAGGGCTTGAACAAGCTCGTCGAAATCGGTAACAGCGGTATGTTCAGACCGGAAATGCTCGAGGCAATGGGTCTGCCCAAGGATTTGAGAGTATACGGTTGGGGTTTGAGCCTGGAGAGACCGACTATGATCAAGTACGGCATCTCCAACATTCGTAAGCTGTTGGGACACAAGGTGGATTTGAACTTCATTGAGAGAAACCCAGCAGTAAGACTTGACAAAAACTAGAGGATTCGGCATGGGAAAGTAGAAAAAGGGACACGACTTACATGAGATGAGCTTGGGCTGGCATATGTTGGCGAATGGAATACCAATCACGTTTTGAAAGGTCGTACTGTCAAGCTGTCAACCATGAGGTTACCAGGGTGTCAGGACTCAGGTCTGTCCCATCGACGATGGTGAGATTCAGCTGCCCCACGGCTACCCTTCCGCAGGTGGACGATTTAAATGAGCTGTCAACGTCTGGCAAGGGTCGGCAGGTGATCCTCATGATAGATTTTGACATCCCATATCGGTGTCATTGGTGTCATCGGCGCCAGGACCGATTCGGCCGCCTCCGAGTCGTTCAGCGGCATTTGCTCGGACTGTAGTTGAGGCATTGGCCAATGGTTGAGATGAAAAATTGACGACTCCCCGGCACTGAGTGCTAAAGGCGGGGCAAATGCCAGATGTAGCGGGGTTGGTTAGGCCAAACGTCAGATCGCATCCCAAACGGTAAGAAGCTCGGGCCCTCATTCAGGACGAAAAGGTGCGTGCAATTCGACTCTGGCACAGGGTGTAAGACTCACTGAGCACCGTCGCGCCTCAGTGAGAGTAGACGACAGACGGGATGCCACCCGGCAGACGGGCAGGAGCGAACGAGCGAGCGAGCGAGCGCCGTGAGTCACTCCCCCAGGACTCCAATGTCGAGTAGTCCTTGCCAGATTGACTGGAGCAGCTGCAGCACGCCCGGGGAATATTTGCAAGTCCCCATGGGTCTCCAGCCGTCTCAATTGAGTCAATCATTAAGGTACACTCCCGATATGTACTGTACATGTAGCATTATTTCCATCCCGAAAGAGTTTGTTTCCGTGACTCAACAGTGCATGTTGTCCAAGCTGCCAGCAATGTCTGGGCACCTTGAGCTCAGGGCTACCTACCTCCGCAGACACGCAGGAAAGAATGGAAGGCAAGGTATGCACAAAGCTCGAGTCGACTGAGGCGAACCAGTGGGCGAACCACCAGCTTCAAATACTCTCTCGCTTTAAGACAAACCAAAAGCCAGGGAACGGCTCGGGGCATCTGACGGTTACAGACGAGAATGCGTTGCTGAGAGTTTTGACAACGCTGTAAAACCTTGTTCAGTACCTGCACTGTCAGAAATTTTCGCCAAATCCCAAGCCTCGCTCATTAGAGGTGAGGGCGGGAGACACTAGGGTGGTCCCTCAGCGAGAGAGAGATGGATGTGCGAGGGTGTGTACAGTCACTGCGGTGACGCAGAAAGTTGCGATAACGGCGCCCAAGTGGTCCCTGGCGCAGTAGACGGGGCAGCAGACGGGGCCTTGAGGGAAGAGACGGATGTGATACCACCCCAGTTAGCGTCCTGAGCCATTGTTGGGCCCCCCCGATCGGCCAATTCAACAACCGCTGAGAGAAAAATTTCCTTATCTTATCACAGTTCGGACCGCCTTTTGTCGCTGAAGACGAAGACCGCTGCGACCATCTTCCCTCCCCACAACTCTAACAAAGCTCACGGAAGAGTCACAAACCTTCCCTCCCCGGCGGCCATAATACCTCTTCTCTCTTGGTCCAAAAACCATTCAATTGGCTCTGACCTCGAGTATTCTCTCTCTTCCCCAAGGTCTTTGTCGAATTGATCCCTTGAATCCTTCACAATGCCGTCGGCCATGTCAAGTTCTTTGGCAGGTCGAGCTCCGGCTGTCCTCCGACATGGTCGCCGAGTCCCTACGGCTCTGACCGGCCGCAACTTCACCCTCGCCGCCTCCAACGGCCTGGCCAGAGCCCAACTCCAGAACAGCAGTGCTAAGCTGCTTCAAAAGCGTCTCTTTACCGCGAGCGCACTTCGTCCCAGTGCCGCGCAATCTGCGCCGAATCCCAAGGCTTATCTTGAGAGCGGTGTGATCAAGCCCTCAGCGGGCGTCGATGTCAAGAAGGTGCTCGTCATTGGCAGTGGTGGTCTCGCCATTGGCCAGGCCGGAGAGTTTGACTACTCAGGTTCGTTTGCTTGCCAAACTCGCGCTCAACAAGTGTAGAGAATGAGTCACAGACACCAAGGAGCTTTCTGGCTAACACGACTCTTCATAAAGGATCACAAGCTCTGAAGGCTCTGAAGGAGGCCGGCGTCAAGTCTGTCCTCATTAACCCGAACATTGCCACCATCCAGACCAACCACTCGCTCGCCGATGAGGTCTACTACCTCCCCGTCACACCGGAGTACGTGACGTATGTCATCGAGAAGGAGAAGCCCGATGGCATCTTCCTGTCTTTCGGTGGCCAGACCGCCCTGAACTTGGGTGTTCAGATGCAGCGCCTGGGTCTCTTTGAGAAGTACGGAGTCAAGGTTCTCGGAACCAGCGTCAAGACCCTCGAGACCAGTGAGGATCGTGACCTTTTCGCCAAGGCCCTCGGCGAGATCGACATCCCTATCGCCAAGTCCATCGCCGTTGGCACTATCGAGGAGGCTCTCGACGCTGCCGAGAAGGTCGGATACCCCATTATTGTTCGTGCCGCCTACGCACTTGGTGGCTTGGGCTCTGGCTTCGCAAACAACGAGGAGGAGCTTCGCAACATGGCTGCCCGCTCCCTTACTCTTTCCCCCCAGATCCTGGTTGAGAAGTCTCTGAAGGGCTGGAAGGAAGTCGAGTACGAAGTTGTCCGTGACGCAAACAACAACTGCATCACTGTTTGCAACATGGAGAACTTCGACCCCTTGGGAATCCACACTGGAGACAGTATTGTCGTTGCTCCTAGTCAGACTCTGAGCGATGAGGAGTACCACATGCTGCGATCTGCCGCCATCAAGATTGTCCGTCATCTTGGCGTCGTCGGAGAGTGCAACGTTCAATACGCGCTCCAGCCCGACGGCCTTGACTACCGTGTCATTGAG